GGAGATGGGACCGGGCACCACCACCCAGGACAGAGGCAGAGGCTGGAGATGGGACCCGGCACCTCCACCCAGGACAGAGGCAGAGGCTGGAGATGCAGCCGGGCTGCCCCACCCAGGACAGCTGCAGGTGAGACATCATTCCCAGGGGTCAGGGTCAGCAGCTCAGGGGTGCTGCAGCAGATCTGGAAGCTTCAGGAAGCTGCTTCGAAGTGGAGGAAGAACAAAAGAATAGAAGAAGTATGTGAAGAGCTGTCCTTGTTTCCAGATTGAAAACAATTTATTCTGACAACGAGACAGAGAAAAACACGAAGGAGTGACCCCGAGGAGGAGCTGAGCAAGGTCAGGCAGCCTACGTCCTTCACAGCAGCCACGTGTCCAGGCAGGCTTCTGGCCGTGGCTCAGACACAGAGCCGTCAGGCTGGCGTTTGCAGATGCGCGATGCTGGACGCTAGCTGTTGAGGGAAGAGCCCGGATTTGAGACCCAGGAGCAGAGAAATCAGGTTTTGAGGGCAGTGGGGAGCGTTGATCCTGCATCGGGGAGAACTTGGCCACTGCACAGTGTTGTCTGAGGCACAGCAGTGGCGTGGCCTACGGGACACCCGATGGGCAGGGGCAGGGGCACCAGGAGCCATCCAGTAATACTCATGGGACACCCTTAGGGGAGGGGCAGGGGCTCCTGGAGCAGGGAGCTGTCCAGCATTGCCACCCAGATCCACTCCCAGGCTCAGGGATTTCAGGAACTGGTGTATGTGTGGAAAGACTGTCTCCAGCTAGCAGGTGTTCTGAGTCCCAGCTATTTTTAGGTATTTCATTTGTTATATTCAAGTAAAAAAAAGTTGGTTTTGTTTTGTTTTTGAGACAAGGCCTCCGTTACCCAGGCTGGAGCGCAGCAGTGTGAACTTGGCTCACTGCAGCCTCGACCTCCCAGGCTGAGGTGATCCTCCCACCTCGGCCTCCCAAGTGGCTGGGACTACAGTTGTGTGCCACGGCACCCAGCAGAGTCTTTGTATTTTTTTGTAGAGTCGGGGTTTTGCCATGTTGCCCAGGCTGGTCTTGAACTCCTGGGCTCAGGGACCCACCTGCCTTGACCTCCCAAACTGCTGTGTTGGGATTACAGGTGAGAACCACCAAGTCCAACCTTCCAAGAAAATTTAATTGAGTGCTTTTTATCTTTCCTGCTAAAAAGGTTAGCAGAAACAGTTTTGTTAAGCATAACATAAAACACAGAAGCCATAAAACAAGAGACCAATAAATTTAACTATAAAAAGATGCACGATGTTTTATAGTTTTTTTAACTATAAAAAGAGATGTTTGCATGGAGCAAATGACACAGACAAGGTGGAAAGCTAAGAGCAACACGTCTGAGCATGAAAATCCACCTGCCGCTGAAGACAGAGGCCAAGGCGAGATTTTCCAGCTTACGAGGAACCTTGGTCAGCAGGAGAGAATTGGCGCCCAGGCAGGAAGCAAGCCAACTCCGTTCACAGGACTGGAAGTCACTTGGTGTCACCCCAGGTCGTCTGGGGATGTTGGGTTGGACCTTCCACGGGATGTGGCTCACGGCTCCTCCAACGTGGACAGGTGGGACAGGCACAGCCGTGCAGGAGGACACAGGTGAGCCCTCAACTCAACACACACGCACCCTGCAGGCTCCAGGAGCTGCCCTTGGACGCTGCTGCCCGTGGGAAAGGCGTATCCAGGATGCCCTTTCCAACTCCGATGGCAGAAGGCTGGAAACAGCCACCCTCCGCCTACGTGGCATTAGTGTGTGCATGGGAGGTCCGACCTAACCTCCTCTGACAACCTGTAGGTAACGCATGTGTACTTTTCTCAGTGACTACAAAGGTCAGGGCTTACTTCTGAGCAGGAGTGTTTGGTCTGAAGCCAACCTGCCCCTCACCTGCCAGTGTCCTGGTTAACAGAATTTCACAGCAAGCGGTGGCTGCACTGGAGTGTGGTGGAGGGCCAGCGGTGTGGGGAGCACAGAGGCCATGTTGAAGCGTGTGGCGGAGGGTCAGTGGTGTGGGGAGCACAGAGGCCACGTTGGAGTGTGTGGCGGAGGGCCAGCGGTGTGGGGAGCACAGAGGCCATGTTGAAGTGTGGCGGAGGGTCAGCGACGGCGTGCGGAGCACAGAGGCCACGTTGGAGTGTGTGGCGGAGGGTCAGTGGTGTGCGGAGCACAGAGGCCACGTTGGAGTGTGTGGCGGAGGGCCAGCGGTGTGGGGAGCACAGAGGCACCGGTGTGTGGAGCTGTGTAGTTGTTTTTAAAGACAAAGCTGGCCCTGTGCATCCCTGACCTCCTGGCCCCGCAGTTGTCTGGTGGCTTCACAATGGTGGTGGTGATTGCTGTAAATCTAATTTTGGAAGATTGTGGCTAAAAGACCCAAGCCCTGAACGAGAGGACCCAAGGCCACGTGTTTGCAGCCACTTCAGGCGATGGCGTTCTGGAGCTCCCAGGCTCCCGCCTCGTCCCAGGTCTAACCTTCGGCCACGCTGCCCCCTGCCTGGTAATGCGTGGTCTCTGTGGTCACAGGATTTTATCCTCAGAGCGGTCCACACGCTGGCAGGCACCGAGGGGCCACAAGTGCCCCTCTGGCTGCCCCACAAGCGCTATTGGGCAAGCACCATCTCCCAGGTCCTTCCCCTGGAAGGAGAGGACAGGTGAGCTGATCCCCTACAGGGGCCAGCCTGGGACGTGGGCAGAGGCAGAAAATGCATTGTGTAGAAAACAGTGGCCTGGGTGGGTCTCGCCAGGGGCTGGGCAGCCTCCAGGGGTCACCATGACCATGGCTGTGCCGGGCCTTGCTGGGCACTCGTGGGGCAGCAGTGGAGGTGGCAGCGCCACCAAGGATGGATGTGGGAGGCGCGGGTCGAGCCTGCAGGTGAGCAAGCGCTGGCACCGGGCACGGACCACCCGGGTCTTCTGAACACAGCTAGGGACGCCATGGCCAGGATTTACAGCCTCAGGAAGGAGCAGAAGGTGGTGCACTCCACGTCTCTCTGGACATTGAGAAAGAAATCAGGAGTCCACAGATGCGGGAGCACCGGCTCCAGACCTTCTTTCCCCACGGGGACCCCCAGCAGGACTCCCAAGGGCCTCAGAACCCCTACCCTAGCATGCAGATTCCTGGGCCAGCCTAGGGCCTGTTGAGCCGGGTCTGGAGGGGGCCCCAGGCCGCCCTGAGCAGAGGCCACAGCCCTCCCCTTGCAGGGCCAGAAGAGGCCACCCACGGCTTCCCAAAGCTCTGCGAGGCTGGGTCCGTCCCCAGCCACCACAGGGAACAGGCCATGGAGCCCAGAGGAAGAGAAGGGCCTGTTTTCCTGCTGGGCTGTGGCTCTGTGAGCCCAGGTCTGGGGGAGGCGCTGCTGAGGATGGGCTGTTGGGGTAGGTGTGAGGTCCCAGGACTCCTCCCTTGTATCACAGCTGCAAGGGGAGCACCTTCCAGAGTATGGAGAGCTGTAGATGGCTGCAGGGTCAACCCCACAGATGCTCTGCTGACAGTGGGAGCCAATGGGCCCCCCCAGGCCAGCTCTGAGCAGGGCCCTGAGGACTCCAAGGAACCCGCCCTCTGTGTTCCCAGGGACAGCCGCCCTCCCTCACTCCAGACCCTGCCCGCTGTAGTTTGCCGTGCCACCCGTGGTATTTGGCAAAACCAAAACAGCACCTCCCTCCTCAGCCAGCACCCTATCCCTGCAAGAGCCCCATAATTACAAGGGAGAAAACAGGCAGGGAGGGCCAAGCTGGTCAGGGCCACAAGCCGGGAAGGGCGGGACATGGCCACTGCCCCCGACGCCCTCCAGCCGTGCCCACAGGGTCTTCGGGTCTGTGACAGAGCCTCCCTGCTCCCACTGCTCTGTGTTTAAATGGGGTCTTGGCCGTCTCAGGAGACAGCTTGCCTTTGCATTTCAAATTAATAAACAGCAGCTGAGGGAATGAAGAAGCTAATTATCTCTTACATCACCTAAGCCGGAGAACACGCCTTCCCGCTATTTTGAAATCAGGCCGAATGCAGGAATTCTCATCACCTTTTTCTTTCTGAGTCCAGTGAAAACACAGGAGACGTGGCCCAGATAGGCTGGTGCCTGTGTCCCCACCCACAGGGCAGGCCAGAGCCTCCAACTCCGGGGTCCTGCAGGGGCAGTGGTGCCAGGGGACAGGGTGAAACGTGTTGGCTCCGTGGGGCCCCAGGGCCTGCTGTCCGCCCTGGAGCTCACCCGTGGGAGGGAAGTGGGCTGTCATTGGTGGTACCCAAAGACCCTTCCTAGAAGGCCCCACCTGGGGGCTGTGATCCCAGGAGAGGGGTGAGAAACAGAGCCAGCCTCTAGAAGGAGCAGGCTCTGCACAGGACAGGGATAGTCAGGGCGAGCCCAGACCTTGGTCACCAACACACAAGGCAGAGAGCGAGTTGGGGTCCAGGGGTCAGAGCCAGCCGGGGCAGGGCGGCAGGTCAGAGGCCCACCCCTGACCACCCAGCATGGGCCTCCACCCACAGCACCGCAGCCTCCTCCAACCAACCCCATTCTGGAGGCCCCCAGACGCTGCCCCTGCACCCTCCCTCCCGGCCCTCTTGGGCTCCCTGAAAAGTGGGGAACGGTCTTGGATGCCAGCATCTCTGAGCCCCATGGGACCTGGTCAGGCTGACCTCCCTCCCCTCCCCCACAGCCTGCCCTGACCTCGCTCCCCTCCCTTGCAGGGTTCCACCTGTCCCACAAGGTCACCAGTGTGGTTCCCGAGAGCGCCCTGCTCATTGTGCTGGGCCTGGTGCTGGGCGGCATCGTCTGGGCAGCTGACCACATCGCGTCCTTCACGCTGACGCCCACCGTCTTCTTCTTCTACCTGCTGCCCCCCATCGTGCTGGACGCCGGCTACTTCATGCCTAACCGGCTCTTCTTCGGCAACCTGGGCACCATCCTGCTGTACGCAGTCGTGGGCACCGTGTGGAACGCGGCCACCACCGGCCTGTCACTCTACGGCGTCTTCCTCAGCGGGCTCATGGGTGAGTCTGCGCTGCTGCTGCTGCCCCCTGCCAGGGCCCAGGGCAGGGTCCAGGAGGGGTGGGGTCCAGGAGGGGGCGGGGT